ATATAATTTTTATATATATATATAATAGTTATATATTTTTCTTTCTATAAACGCAATCTGTTAACAAAATATTTATTTAATCATTACCTGACAATTTCTCTTTTCTTTTATCAAAGACAAACGCTTCAGTCAGATTCTTACATGCGTACAGTGCCACACATACATTTTACTCTACCACACAGATGAAGCTGCTTACTCTCGACTGAAGATGTCGCTTTCTGCTTTTACCAACACTTTTCTTTGCTATGCTCCTCCTGTTTGTTTGCCGTCCAGAAATATTACATTTCTACTGATGATAATCTTGCTTGTTTCTTTATCTAGTAATCTGAATGCTTTTGACTGCTCACTATACCCTACGAAATGTAATTTCTTCGCTTTATTATCTAATTTTCGCCTTAACTCATCTGGAACCTTTACATATGCCATGCATCCGAAAGTGTACGTGTCCTTTAAATGTGGTTTCTATGAATGCCATTTTTCGTATGGTGTTTTGTCTTTAGATTTGATGAGCAATTTATTTTGCAAATAATTAACCGTAACTATAGCTTCACCCCAGTATTTTTTTGCCAGACCACTGTCAATAATCATGCATCTAGCCATTTCAATCAAGTACGTGTTCTTTCTTTCCACCTTACCGTTTTATTGTGGTGAAAAAGGTGCTGTAAGTTCCATTTTGATACCCTCCTCCTTAAGGTAATCCGCCGTTTGTTCGTTCACGTATTCTTTGCCGCGATCAGACCTCAATATCTTGGGTTTTCTGTTGAATTTTGTCTTGACTGCTTCGGTAAACTCTTTGATATATTTGAAGACCTCCAATTTGTGCGCTAGTAAAATTATTTCTGTGTAGCCGCTATAATAGTCGATTATTGTCATAACATATCTTTTTCCACCTGGCGTAATGGTTTGCATGGGACCGCAAACGTCACTGTGTACGATCTCCAAGATATCCTTTGTTTGTCTACTCGATTTAATGTAGACGTCAATTTTATTTTCTACTTATTAAATCTACTCGACACCTTTGGAAAAGATTTCTTACTCATCTTTCCTTTGTAGCGTAATAATTATATTTTTATTGAAACAGCTCGTTGTTACAAACACGCACGCCGTTCCCTCGCTTTCTGTACATCTCTTTTCTTTCTCTCTCGCTCCTTCCCTCTGCTCCGCCACCTGTGTGTCTACATGGCAACATCATGCACGAGTCGCGCGCATTACAAAAACATCCAGACCCATGCAACAATTCGACGTCCTTTGGATGTCCGAAATATGTCTTGAAAAGTCCCGTTTATGTGACGTCCCGTTTATGTCGACGGATGTCTAAAATACGTCTCAAGGACGTCGTTTGGACATCCAATAATAAGGCTATTTACGCAGACATTTTAGGGATGTCCAAAGTATATCGTCAATACGTCTGATTTTCTATTAAATACAATTTTTTACATTGTAATTCTTTTAAAGAATAGTAGTGTGGATGAGATTATTTTATATATTTGTACTACTGATGTTTGGATAATAGTTCTGAAAAATGTCTTTTTATCATTAAATGTATAACTGACCCCGGTAAAAAAATTTTTATGTATAATCAGTATATAAAAATGTATATAAAAATGTTTATACAAATAAATTTTTATATAAAAAATTTTTATATACAAAATGTATATAAAATTTTTTAAATCAAACATATACATATATTATACAAATATGTATAAAATTGACGTCTACATTAAATCGATTGTATATCCTAGAAGAATGTAACATTTATTGGATACATTTGCTGTGTAGCACAAAAAGCTGTTTTACAATTATAAAATTTATGAATCTGATTGGTGTATGTTCTTAATTGCTAAATCTTAGAGTATCAGATTCAGGATTGTTACAACAATTGCAAGACAGATTTTTCTGCTAAACGCAGCCATTGGACCCAAAGACGTCCTATAAATGTCGTTAGAATGACGCGTCAACATCTTTGGACGGTACAATGTACGTACTGACGATGTCTACTGGACGTCTTCGGGCGATGGACTGTATGTACGAACGATGTCTACTAGATGTCTTTGGGCGGTACATTGTACGTACAAAAGATGTCTACTGGACGTCTTCCTCACATCATACGGATGTCCGTGCATGACGAACGGGACGTCCTTTAGACGTTTAAAAGATGTCGAATTGTTACGTGGGGAGTGCTATACTTTGGATACAGATCTTACATGCTTCTTTAATTCCGCAGTCCTGTAGTGTAATTCCATATGCCAGGTCTTCTTTTGCTAGCTTCCTTATCGCGTCCGGGTCCCTATGTCCTAGCTTCTTATGCCATGTATGAATACATTTATCTGAATGTGTCCTCATTGATGATAAAGCTTTATGTTCCATCCTGAGTCTATATTATAAGTTTCCTATGACTTTGGCTGTAACAATTTTCTTCTTATCTTTCAGTATGTTGCATATTTCCTTCTTAAATTCTATTGTATCCATTTTCTGTAATTTTCTTTACTGATAGTGTAATTACTGTGTAAATCTGGTATGTATAGGACATTTTTCAATGTAATTGTCTTCATAGCATTTCCGTTATAACATTTAATCCTTCCTGATCCTATACCTATTATTTTAGCTTCCTTTCCATTTGCTACCGTAACTTTATCTTCCACACTTGTGAACGTCTTGTCGAAGAACTCTCTGCTATTTGTCATATGACTTGTGGCCCTGGAATCAATGTACCATGATTTCCTTGAGTCATCTTTATTGTTTGTGCTAAAACAAAGATTATCCTTATCGTCCTAACCCGCGGTTGCTGTATTCAAATTTTCGTTCTTATCTTTCCAAGCTTTGTATTTTCTGCAATCCTTCTTTATATGCCCTTTCCTTTTGCAGAAGAAACATTCTGCAAGATCCTGTCGTGGTTTCGTTTATTTTCCACTGTCTCGTGTCTTTAAAACTTTGTCCTTTATTTTACTCGCTCCAGCGGAATTGCTTATTCTTCTGCAATATTCATCGATGAGCTTCCTTTTTACCAGACTAAAGGTTAAATCCTCTTCCGGTCTGCTCTCGACTGCATTCATTAGACTGTTATATGAGTCTGGAAGACTACCAAGTATCAAAATCAATCTCGAGCCTGGGCCCATAACCTGTTAGCAAAATGCTGCAGAGGAGTAAATAACTTTGATCTTAAGATTATGATTAAGGTATTGAATTTTATTCTGTAAGATACTTCAAGAACATATGTAACGATGTGAATCAAGCGTACTGCTGTACGTTACAGCTAGAGAGTCTTATGTTAGTGACGTTGCTTATCCACAGGTGGCATCATTGTAACTTTTGGCTCCTAATTTGAACAAAACCATTTTGGTAAAATTTGGTAAGAAAATTATTATCCTTATACTCACCTTATTCTTTTACTAGAGGATATAATTTTACTTATATCTTCTGTTTATATGTATTTGCCACAGAAACTTGTATTTACTTGTATTTAATTGTATTTACTAATGTCAAGAAAAAGTAACGAAAATAGTAACGACTCGTTAGTTTTTTAGTAACAGTAACGGTAACAAGTTACTATTTTCAATCAATAACCCAGATAGCACAAGACACTCCTATGAACATTTTAAGAATATTCTTCAAGAATATTTGGAACATTCCATAGGTCATTCTTATATGTACACATATTTATCTTATGTTCATAGAACATTTGACTGGCACTACTGTAAATCGTTTTCGAATGTGAATAGAATAATCTATTGAATATAGCGTGTTGGTTACACATGGTATGATCATAAGTTTCACTGCCTCTTGCATAAGGTAAGTGTATTACACAATAAACAATGTGCAATATATAAACTCAATAAATATTAAAAAATTATTCTGAACAAATATTCCAAAGACATTCTCGACGAATATTCTAAAACCGTTCTTCTTTGTTATGAATATACAATTTCTAATTGTAATAATCTATACATATATAATATATTTATACAGGATGCTAAAAACTAACATAAGTGCCATAAATTTGTGTGATGAAAAAATAGACGAGTACAAGCATTTTAAGTACAGGAACCATGGGTCGGTGATGTTTTATTACGGCGTGACGGACGTTTAATTGAATCGTCACAACTCCTGCAATGCAGGTGGATCGGACGGGGTGGACCTGTGACATGGCCTGCAAGGTCATCAGATTTAACGCCTCTCGACTTCTTTTTCTGGGGTGCAATGAAAAATATGATTTATTCTGAACAAGTCGAATCCGAGGAGGATCTGGTCGCTCACATCGTAGAGGCATCTGAAACCATCCGACGCATGCGTGGAATATTGCAAAAAACGCGGCAGTCATTGCTCCGTCGCTGTGACTCTTGTCGGAACGTTGGAGGTCATAACTTTGAACAGTTATTGTAAATATATATATCAAATTGACGAAATAAAATCATTGCATCGCAGACGTTGTGACGATTCAATTAAACGCCCTTCACGCCGTAATAAAACGTCGCCGACCCATGGTTCCTATACTTAAAATGCTTGTACTCGTCTATTCTTTCATCACACAAATTTATGGCACTTATGTTAGTTTTCAGCACCCTGTAGAATATTCGATTCGAATATTCTGAAATTAAGAATATTTGTACACCAGAAAAATTTTCATAGAACTATGTGTACTATCTGGGAACGAGTAACGGTAACGAGTTACTTTTCAGAAAAAAAACGTTAACGGTAACGAGTTACTTTTATAAAGTAACTTTTCCAACCCTGCTTATTGTTAATAATAACTACTTTATGAAGCATAATGAAGCATAATGAAGCTTAGTTTTTCATAAGAAATATTACTTTATAAATAGCGGACGCAAATTAGTGTACACCCTGTATATCAGATTAATTTGTTGCTACAAAATGGTAGTCACTACAACAAAATTTGAATGGTTGTTCAGAAAGATGCTTAGTAGCACACACACCTTACTTTCTTTCAATCATGGCAATAACAATAAGTATTATTGTTATTAATATAAGAAAAGATTAATTACTTGTTAAATTACCAAGGATATTGCGGGGTAAATTATGAAGAATTGTGATATCTAGCAATTTTGGGCAGCTTTGGAATAGAATTTCTTCATTTAAGTGGTCTAAGAGAGTGTGGAAAAACATTATAGAGGAATATATGTATATTTTCTTAGCATCTACCTAGTTGTTAGCTAATAATTTAGTCTTTTTATTCCATTCTCTTTGCTTTCAACTAACCCGAAAGAGTGTCAGATATAATATTCTCCTTGAATAAATTGTCTGGGTAACGATATTTATAATAGAAAATTAATTTGTCTTGTAAATATAATGGAAGTTTATTCTGACGAATGTATTCTTTCACTTCGTGCATGGTTTGTTGATATTTGAGCTTTGGTTTTGCCGATGATTCCAAGAGTTGTAGGATCGTAACTGCAATTACAAGAGTTTTCTTATTATGCTAATTTTGATTTTATTTACATTTGTACAATACAACTAAAAAATAACATTATTTTAATAAAAAAATTTACTGGAAGAATTTGCTATATACTACAATATTAAAATTCTTATAAATTTAGCAAGAAACTACTTAATACCAATCAGGTAAATTATGTAGCCTTTTCCCAAGAGTAGAAGTATGCATCTTATTACTGTATCCAAAGTACCAAACTGATTAAATTCCATAAAATTAGAGCCGATCAAATTACTCACACCAATATGCACAAATACTAAATACTCTTCCCAGTCAGACTTATCATGAAGTTTTGTCGAAAAATAATATGCATCTGAACTCTGAAATTATTCTACTATACATATAAATAGAAGGATAATACATTTTTTAATAATGTTTAATATAAACCCTCTGGTGAATATATTTAAATATAATGAAATTTTGCTAATATGCATATTTGATATAAGTCCCCTGATGGAAGTATTTAAATGTAATAGAATTTTTCTGAAATTTATTTAAAAATATCTCTTAATTGAGATTTTTAGTATAATTTTAATACAATTTTATCAATATTTAAGTAAATATTAAGTGAAGTCATTTTCATTAAAAAGTAATATAGTTTCTATTGTTAGCTAAATTTGGTAATCTCTAATATTTATAGTTTTTCTATTACTTTTTAGCAGCAAAAATGCTTTAACTTTCCTTATTTTTTACAATATTATATTGAATTTCATAAGAAAAATTATAATTTTCTTTGAGATACATTTTGTATATTTTCAATAATTTTATCTTACTTTCTCCGATTTTATAGTCTTGTCAGCTAAATACTTCCAACAGAACCTAGTAAAAAATTTTTCATTAAAACATATAAGTATACAAAATTATTTCTAAAATAAAAGTAAATAAATTAAAATCTCAAAAATATCACAAACTAAATATATAAGGGCGTAAAAACGCAATTAGTTTTGCGTAAATCTTATCATCAATAATATTTATTTATTCCAAATTGTAGACGTTTTAACATTTGTTTGTTATCCAATACAATCAACTTAAGGTAATAGATTCGCTATTTTATTTGTAAAATATTTCTATATATACATGTTTTCTTTGTCTTGTATAATCTCTGTTTATACATACATACATATATACATTGTAATATATACAGGGTGTACCATTTTAATCGATCACCCCTCGTAACTTTGCAGGGAGCGATCGTAGAGAAAAATGTTTCAGGCAAAAGTTGTATGGTTTTAAGGAGGACATAAAATGGTGTCATTAATTTGACCTTGAATAGTTGCTTGAAGGTTACGTAAAGGTCACTTTCAAAAAGTATTAGGCAAATAAAAATGTTTCGGACAAAAATTGTTCATATTAATTAGTAGAACAAGATAGTATAATAAACAATAAGGGGTTCCATTAAAAAAATGGAAAGTGACCTTTACGTAACCTTCAAGCAGCTATTCAAAGTCAAATTCATGACACCATTTTATGCCCTCCTTAAAACCGTACAACTTTTGCCTGAAACATTTTTCTCTACGATTGCTCCCTGCAAAGTTACGAGGGGTGATCGATTAAAATGGAACACCCTGTATTGTATATGTATACAGGGTGGGGCAATAATTATTAGGACCTTAAATATCTTCGAATCTATAAGGCCCAGAGGAAGATTTGTGTAACCAAAATTCCACGGTATGAAGGGGGCTATCATAATAACGATAATATTTTTGTCCAGGTGGAGGCGCTTCGGAGATATCAAGATCATCTTAATTTTTTAAAATGGGTCCGATATGTTTTTTCCCCATAATATGATAGAGGAGCTCGAAACAAGTTCAGAACTCACGACACAAGATCATTGTACAAAATTTAATGGAAAGAAAAATCGATAATACAGTTTTATTATTGAATGAAATTTACGTTTACAAAAGATGTTCGAAGTGATGACCATCATTATCGATGCAAGACTGGATTCTTCCGATAATTGATTGGCTTGCTCTTTTAATAATGTTAAGAGTTATTGATGTATAGGCTGTAATAATCCGTTGTTGCATGTCTTTTTATCGATTTTTTTTCCATTAAATCTTATTCAATGATCTTGTGTCGTGAGTTCTGAACTTATATCGAGCTCCTCTATCATATTATGGAAAAAAACATATCGGATCCATTTAAAAAAATTAAGATGACCTTGGTAACTTCGAAGCGCCTCCACCTGTACAAAAATATTATCGCTATTATGATAGCCCCCTTCGTACCATGAAATTTTGATTACACAAATCTTCTTCTGGGCCTTATAGATTCGAAGATATTTAAGGTCCTAATAGTTATTGTCTCACCCTGCAATAACTATTAGGACCTTAAATATCTTCGAATCTATAAGGCCCAGAAGAAGATTTGTGTAATCAAAATTTCATGGTACGAAGGGGGCTATCATAATAGCGATAATATTTTTGTCCAGGTGGAGGCGCTTCGAAGTTACCAAGGTCATCTTATATATATATATATATATATATATATATATATATATATATATATATATATATACAAAAAATAATCATTACATCTCTGGGGACATTGATCGTGAGAATATATTTCTTCTTATGAGAGGTGCAAGGCCTGCACAGACATGGAAGAGTCATTTTGAATATGTTCTCTAATAAAAAAAACACATTAACTATGTTACTTTTCTAATAAATTATAATAAAAATAAACTTAAAGTAGTTCAACAAAAAATAAAAGTATCTAAGAAACAGCCGATATGCAGATATATGTTTATTAAGACTTTTTGATTTATTTAAGTTTATACTAACAATAAACTTTAAAATATTGTATCCTTTTTATAAATATCCTGTATATAATTATATATGTATAATTATATACGATTATATAAAATTGTATATAATTGTATACATATAATTATATCTGTATATGAGCAATTCTTTTTCAGTTTTATTTCACTTTTTATTTAAAAAATTAATGCAAAAATTTGTTTAATTAAAAAAATGTTTTTTTAGTACTTTTTTGTATACTATACAAACAAAGATTATACAAAGGAAGAACATATAGATATACTTTATGTGTATATTATATATGTTTCTATAAAATATGAAAAATTTTTTATGGGCATCTTATAAAGTTTCAGAAAAATGAAATTAATTATAGAAATCACCGTACTTCCATCGTTTTCTCTTGTACATGCATGATGATATAGGGGAATATGTAAGTTATACAGCTACTCCAGTGAAAAATTAATAATGTTAAAATAATCAGCCATATTGTTATATGTTGAACTTGAGAAATCCTAAAACTCTATTGAGAAAAGCTTAATATTTTAATTACACAAATTCAAAACAATTCAAATTATCTAATTTATAAAATATAAGCTATTAATTAATATTTATACAATATTTATATGATTATGAGTTATACCGCATTGATCTGTTGAACATTTTGTCGTACTGTAGGTATACGAATTAATTTCAAGATAGGCAAAATTTCGAAGATAAGTAATGCAGAATTTGAATGTAGACCAGGCGGTAAAATAAGTGTTGGATAAAACCACATGTATGGTACTGAGCTAATAACATCAACGAAAAAGTATCCCTTCACATAACGTCTGTTTAAATACATATAGTACTCACTTTTGTATATTTAAAGGAAAGAAAAAAAAACGGATAATAAATCAGTGAGAATGAATATAAAAAGGCGCAATCACCTTGCTACTAAAGTGGTATCAAGAAAGATCTCATTTCCATTAGGCGATACAAATCCAGTTATAAAATTCAGAAATATATCGACGATACAAACGATATAGGTTGGATACACAATATTCCAACGTTCAGAATTACTATTTTTTCCAAGTCTGTAGAAGCACGTAATATATGGAGCAGTCACAAAAATATATAAAAAAGTGACAGTCATTATCATATCCCAGTAGAACCTACGGAAATAACTTTCTCTATTATACTAGTACCCACAAAAGAGTTAAAACTGTTGTCTTCAATTCTCACACCTTAACATACTACATGGATGGATCATCCATCGATGAGGTGATTTAGAGTGTCTCCTCTTTTCTAAAGCAATAGCTGTCTGACTACGCAAGACCGAAGGAGTTAAAGGATGTCGAGTGGAAACAAGAACGAGCTTCTGAAAATTTCGCTTCCAACGACTATAGAATCTGGCATTTGGAGGTAATTTTGGCAGATTGCTGCCAGACGTCTTCGGCAAGTTGCACACATGTGCGCGTAAATTTCCTCGCTTTACTAAGTTATTCGGATCTCGAATCATCATACCACGTTGACACTGTGTTAACATATGTCAATGATTTGACAAGATATGACGATCGCTCATAGATATCTTCAGGTTTTGAGGTAAATATTGCTATAGGAATTTAACCTAATGAAACATTCATAGTATTTCTAGAAAAAAGTTTTCTTGGTGTAGAATTATTAATATGGAAAATATGGTTCCTAATAAGTTGTTCCATCTTAGCAAATACATTCCTGGATTCTGCATTGGTAAATTCATTCATATATTATATATGTATATTTGTGATATAAATATTAACAATTCTTCCAATGTGGATCAAAATTAACATTTACATAAAATGTATAAGAACACAATTAGTGTTGCTTTCATACAAGATTTAATATAAAGAACTAACGTTAATTTATAATTATCAATAAAATAAAATATAATTATATATTAGTATAATTATATATTAGTATAATAATAATAATTTATTACATATAATTGCGCTATTCTGCAACGAATTTAGATGCAAATTTTAAAATATAAAGCGACCTTCAGACTGAATTAAACGTAAAAAATTAGCACTTTTAGGTCACATTAAGGCTATTCTGATCAACTATTAAACAATATTACAGATGAGTGCAACTTATTAAATTATATTTAAAATATTTAATAAGTTATAATATTATTGTTATTTATATAAAGATAAAGAAATACACTGATAAAACTCTTTAGAGTTTCTGTATCTATATACTTATAACTTATTATAATAATTAATTTATTATTTATTAAATTTACATATATTTCTTTTCAAATATGGAAATTTTGTCTAAACCCTAGCAAACACCAACTAACAGTTATATAATAATAATATCATAATTTTCCACTCAACAATATAACATAATATCAATATTATAATTTTCTACGCAACAATATAAATGTAATATAACACAATATAACACATATTGTGTTATATTACATTTATATTGCTGCGTAGAAAATTATAATATTGATGTTATGTGACAGTTAGTTGGTGTTTACTGGAAACATATTTTTGAATGTGACAATATTTTATTCTTAAAATACATTTCTAATTACACTGATTATATTTTTATATACTTAAGGAATAATTAAGGTAGATAATTCATTAATAATAATAATGTACGTTTGTATGTATCTTAATGCAACCTAGGTACACTAATTTTTTATACATCAGTTTGGCTTTAAGATCATTTTATATTATTTAAAATTTGTATCGAAATCTGCCACAGAATAGGATATAAAGCAGAATTGTATATCATGTGTAAAACTGAAACTATTTTTGAAGGTAAGGGCATTTTAGTAAAAACATGAAGAATAATGTAATAAAACTTATCATCATCATCTTAGTCATTATTATTATACTAATTTAAATATCAGAGGTTATTATAATAATGCATAAACACAAATGAAATAATTATCTAGTAAAAATATTCTTCAAAGTCGCCAGAAGTAATTAACAATATCAATGATTTTTATTTGACCGTGTCTGGCAATTTTTATAATACGGAAAATTTATTGCGAAAAATATTACCCCAGCCAGGGTTTGAACCTGGATTTATTATATGCCTCGGTGGTGAATTGGTTGAGACGCCCGCCTAGAGAGAAGGGAGGTCCAGGTTCAAATTCTGGCTGGGGTAATATTTTTCGCAATAAATTTTCCGTATTAAAAAAGTTGCCAGACACGGTCAAATAAAAATCATTGATGTTGAAATAATTATATTTTACTTATAACTACAAATTGGTCTTTATTTTTTATATAATCTTTTTTATGGCAAGAAACGTGCGTATTTGGCGCTGCTTTTTACCTTTTTTGAAACAGTAATTTTATATGGATAACACACAAGCGAAAGGAAAAGGAGGGGGAGAGGAAAGCAGGAGGGAGGGAGGGAGGGAGGGAGGGAGGGAGGGAGAGAGAGAGAGAGAGAGAGAGGGAGAGGGAGGGAGGAGGGGGTGGGAAAGAAAGCATATTTGTATACGTATATGTTTACAGTTATATAATATGACATAATTATACCTTTCAGCTTAAAATATGCTCTCTAATATTAAAAACAAGAGTGTCACGCTATAATGTCACATGTCATTATTTTTCTTACTTAAAAATTTATAGCTTTTAAATTGGAGTATTTCCGTATGAGAAATAAATTAAAAACATTTTTGTTAGATAATTTAAGCCCTCGCTATCTATTGAAATTAGTTAGAATTAAATAATTTCAGCCATTGCTGAATTATGAAAATGTAAACTCTATTTATCTGCTTATGAGTAACTTGTATATAGTCATGAACGTTTCGCTGTTGTTTCATATAAATATTATTATACGTAAACATGGTGAGAGACATTACTGTGTCTTTTAATCTAATTGATGGAATTTCATAAATATTATGTTAAAATAAAAATTTTGTTAAAATTGTCTTTTATTATTTTCTAAATGGATATTGGATCTAAATGGATACTGTATTGAATTGTACTAGAGAAACTTTTACAAATTGTATATCATAGTTAACACTTAATAGCTAATACACAGAAAAGATACAATATTAAAATGGTCAAACCTTTTACCAAGGAATATATACATATATATAATACTAATCATAATTGTTTTGTTCAATTTGTACAGATAATTCAAATCGGATGGCTCTATGCTTCAGAGAAATACTGATAGTCTGTATGAAAGGTGATTTTACAAATGATATTAAACAACTAGGTGAATACTGGATTCAAATAGAGTCATCAATTGGTTCTCAAGATCGTGAGTTTTTAGTGCATGTATACTCTTCAATGACTATTAATGGTTATTTCGGTGGAACAAAACTCATCAGCTCGGTGACAGAGAAACTACGATGTCTAGAAGAGAAACATACCGAGTACATCTTATTATCATGATAGAGATTGTATACTGAGAATTTTTTAATATTTAAGCATCTAGAATTTAAGGTCTATTAAACATTCTTGATTAGGCACGTAACAATATCTATAACCTCAAACCTATACACCATATGTCCAAATAGGTTTGAGAATTTGTTGATAAAAGAGCAATTTATTGTAAATACTTACAATTAGCAGAATTCTTCTCTATTAGCCAATATATTTTTTGTATTTGGTATTTAACTCATTTAATTCCTTTTGTCACACGTGTGGACAAATTCCGAATCAAATTAGAAACCTCATGCAAGCAAAACTTCGGTTTCAGGATTATCAATTTAAGAAATAAATTTCTGGTCTCTATGTACTTAAAAAATGACCTTTTTTAAAAAAGGTAAAAAGACGTCAAGTATAAGCGCCATCCAATCAAGAATTATATAATTCAATTATTTAGATATAATATTTTATTTGAAGAAAAAACATTTTTATTTTCCCTACAAAAGTATCTTTTCTACAAAAGTAATGAGTACATTAAATTGCGCCAACTAAAATGGATATTTATACAAACTAGATATACTTTATTATTTTTAAATGTTATACTCAGTCAATCGAACATAAGATTTTATCGAAAGAAATAAAAGAGACAATAACATTAATGAGACAAATTTTTAATACTTATTCAATAAAAATATATTGCAAATAACTTTAATACAAATAAACATTATATTAAAATATGGCCTTTTCGAATTTAATTGTTGAATATATATCGGTCCTGATTCACAACATTATTGTTTATTAAAAAACTTAGCGCTTTTAAACATACGTCTCCAAGATATCTTGAAGACGTTTTTAAAAGGGGTTATGGTGCGATCCCATGGACGCGGAACGTGCGCAATGCGGAATTGGCGGAACGCTTGTGATTGGTTGATCCAGTTTTACGTTCGTTCCGCCGATTTCGATCCGCAAGTTTTCATTTTATCCGTAACGTGTAACCTAACCTTGATCCGCGGACAGAAGTCAGTGAACACAAGTCTCAGATATTATTTTTGAGATTGTGTTGTGCGCAACTCTGAAAGCATATGAGAGGGATTTCATACTATCCTCTGATGCTAAATAGCGCAATGTAATTTGGAGTCTAGTGTCAGGCGAAATAGGTTCATGAATAGCATGTTGTTTAATGATGACCGGTCTGACCAATGTCAATAATGCTTCATATATTTCAGGTACCATCCTAAAATAATCTACATATTTTTCTGTATCTTCAGTAAGCATTTCCTTTACAAGATTTTCACTTGCACCTTGTTGTAATCTTCTTTCAATGCTAAATATAGGTCGCACCCAATAGTTTCGTTTCTTTTTATTATTTTCATTTATTTCAGAAATTCTGTACAATGCATATAACTTTGCAATCTTGTGGCGTATGTCCTGTTTTTTAAATGCACACAAACTTTGGTTTAACGAATTCAATAACGCGCAAATGATGACAAACAATTTTTCAGAATTCATATTAAATGTTCTTCTTCCTTGCGTATTATGGTGCGATCCCATGGACGCGGAACGTGCGCAATACGGAATTGGCGGAACGAAGTCCATCCAATCACAGGCATTCCGCCAAATATGTTCCGACGAAAAA